CTGGGCGTGGGGTGAGGCCGCGGGGCCGCGGGAGGGAGGTTTGCAGCCGCCTGCGGGAGCTGTGCGCGCTCTGGCGGGAGCCCCAGCGCCGCAGCAAGGAGCAGGTGCTGGAGCTGGTGGTGCTGGAGCAGTGCCTGCCATCCTGCCCCCGGGCATTTCATGGGGCTGGGGCATGACGAGACGCTCCTGGTGAAATGGTTTTGCTCTGATCCTGGATGCTGCTGTCCCTGTCCCCATCCCCACGCGCTCGGGGGATCCTCCCCCAGCCCTGTCTCGCCCACATCCCGGCTCCACGGTGTCACACTAATCTCATCCCCAGGTCGCGGCGAGGGTGAAGGGCGAGGAGGGGCCCTCCGACGAGATGCAGCCCCCGGGGGCACTGCAGGACCCTGGCGATCCCCGGTGGGAGCAGCCCAGCACCCATGGTGCGCACAGGCCTCTGGATCAGTCAGGAGAGATGGAAACCCCAGGGTTTCAAGACAAGCCACCTCACATTCCCAGAGAGGATCCCCCGTCCCTGCAGCACTCAGGTGAGGTCCAGCATGGAGCCGTCCGCACGGGTCCGGGTGCCCGAGCGTCTGTGCTGCGTGCAGGGAGCGAGGTTTGAACGTCCACCCCTGCCCGTGATGGAGCTGCAATATTCATGCTGCCACATGACTGGGCTGAGACAGACCTGATCCCTGGGGCGGGCAGCTCCCAGGCTGAGACCCTGATCTTTGCTTGCGCGGGCCCAGTACAGAGAGGCTGCATCTGGCTTGGGGCTTCTCATGCAGCTAGGGTAACAATTGATAACCTAATCTCTCATGCTCCTGTGAGTCCTCTGTGCCCAATACACGGCTGGTGCAGGTGCCATGGAAATGAAACTCCCCAGTGGTGTCTGACTGATGAAGGTGCAGCTAACCCAGGCCTGTGTCCTGCTGCTGCAGACTCCCCTGGACCGGAGCAGACCAGGGAGCTGTCAGCAGACGGAAGCTGCTCAGGCTGGTGGCCCAGACGAGGCTCGATCCCAGGGGCAGGGAGGGGGCGGTGGGTCTCCACTCTCCAGCAGCGCGAGCACCGTCCCTCGGTGCAGAAATCTCCCTTCCACAACATGGTGGAGGGGTCAGTGCTCCACAGATCAGCGCTTCTTGTTCTCCTGGTGCCCCTGCAATCGTTTCATGGTCCAGGAGCAGACAGACCTTGCGTTTCCCCTCCCCTGCCCTTAGCGTGTGGATCTGATACGGCCCCAGCATCGCTCGAGCTGCTTTCCCAGGGAGCGATGTCCCAGCAGGCTCTGTCGTGGTGCTGCGATCACCTCCCCACGCTGGGACAGAGTTACCGGGGCTCATCTCCAGCCTCACGCCTGTGGAGGTCTGTTAGCAAGAGCTGCAGGATTCTGCGTCTTCCTTCTCCCCCCTCTTCCACACACTGAGGCCTCCGTCTCCTCAGTCCCAGGCCAGTGCAGGAGACTCGCAGGGCTTTCCCCGTGCCAGCAGCACCAGGGCTCACGTGTGCCCTCCCTTCCCACCCGCAGGTGCTGGGACCCTGCAGAGAGCTGAGCAGCAGCCTGCTGAGGGGTCAGGCCGCAGTTGGAGTACTGTGTCCAGTTTTGGGAGCCGCACTTTAAGAGGGACACGGGGAATCTTGAGAGGGAACAGAGGAGGCCGCTCGCATGTTTAGTGGCATTTGTGATAGACCCTACGGGGGGAGGTTGAGAGAGCTGAATCTCTTCAGCCTTCACAAGAGACGGCTGAGGGGAGATCTCGTGGCCGCCTATAAATTTATTAGGGGAGGTCAATGGGGAATAGGGGAAATGCTGTTTACTAAGGCGCTCCAGGGGGTGACTAGGAACAATGGATGTAAACTAGTTGAGGGTGGATTTAGGTTAGATATTAGGAAGAAATTTGTCATAGTAAGGGTGGCCAGGATCTTGAATGGGCTTCCAAGAGAGGTGGTGCTATCACCTAGCTTGGAGGTTTTCAAGAGGAGGCTAGATAGTCACCTGGCTGGGGTCATCTGACCTCGGTCCTCTTTCCTGCCAGGGGCAGGGGGTCGGACACGATGATCCATTGTGGTCCCTTCCCACTCTACAATCGATGAATCTATGGCTGAGATTGCAATTTATGGTAGTACCCAGTGATTGCAGACAGGGCTGTGGGGGCCGGGAGCAGCTGATGCAGGAGACACTGATGGTGCAACGCTTGTGCCTGCAGCTCCGGGAGGTGTTTGAGGACGTGGCTGTGTATTTCACACGGGAGGAGTGGGAGCTGCTGGACGATGAAGACAAGGTGCTTTACCGGGACCAGATGCTGAAGAATCACCAAGCCCTCGTTTCCGTGGGTAAAGCTCTGGGTCTTGCTTCCCCCGAAGATATGTGAACTGTGCAGTTTTGCAGTCACCTCCCTGTTCCAACAGTCTCATCCTCATGAACTTTTGGCCGTAGGTTTAAACCCCTTTCTCCCCACTGCTCTGTCAGTGATCAGCAGAGATTTGGGTTTTCCATTTCCCACAGAAAAATAGAGAAAACCATGGATTTACTATTTTTATCAGAGAAAACATGGATTTTCCCTTTTAGAAGAGAAACCCGTGGATTTCCCTCTTTTGCAAAGAGTTCTGCAGGCTAGCAGAGTTCCAGCCTACAAGTGCTGTTTGTAAAAGGGGTGGGGAAACCCTCAACCTTGCGGGGAGGGGAAGGGAGGAGGGAAGGGCAAGGCCCAACACTCAAACTTATTGGAGGGTGCTTCGGGCTCAGTCTTCTTGCTGGAGGTAAGTGGCACTTGAGGGGGTTGCAGGGCAGGGCTGGGGGGAAAGCTGGGTAGGGGCGGAGGAAGCAGAGAGGTTTGCAGCCAGCCAGGCATTCTGGCTGGGAGGGGGTTTTCAGCCTCCCTGCCCCCAGCCAGAGTGCTCAGCTGGCTGGAAACCCCTGCTGCAAACCTCCCCGCTCCTTCAGCCCCCAGCCAGCTTGGGCACTCCCCAGTCAGGCACTCTGGCTGGGAGGGGGTTTCCAGCTGGCTGGGGGGAGTGGCGGAGGTTTGCAGCCGGCCGAGCATTCTGGCCAGGAGCAGACAGGCTGGAAACTCCGTCCTGGCTGAAGTGCTCGACCAGCTGCAAACCCTGGGTCGCAAACGCTGTGCTCCCCGCCCTGCCGCCCTCCCCCAGGCTCTCCAGAGCGCAGCATGTGTGATGGGTGCAGCAGGGCACAGCGGAGCCATGCACAAAAGCTGCCTGCCGCTGCAGGTTCTGTGCTGCCCTAGCCACACTTCCTCTGCGTGCATGGGGGGAGTGCTCATCTGCCTGCCCCCACCCCCCCACACCGATCTGGGGGGTGTGGGTCCCCCATTACCCCTCAGGAGTGCATGCTGCCACTGGGAGCTGGCCAGGCCCAAGCTTGCAGCAGGCAGGCAGCAGTAGGGGAGCCGGCTCCTGCTGTAGCAGCAGCTGCCTTGCATTGGGGGCACAGGGCTGTGGACCTGGGTCCCTGGCCCCATAGCACTGGCAGCTGAGGGCCCCCTTCAGCAGGGCTGGGGGGCTGTGAGGGGGAAGTCAGGGACACCAGCAGGGCTGTGGGGGGCATTTAATTTTAACCAGATTGAGGGATTTTTATCAGAGAATTCGTAATTTTTTTTCATGGAAAACCAGGATCCCTGGTTATCAGGCCTCCCTCACATTTCAGACTGAGATCTCCTCCTTCATTTGCTCCAGCCGCCTTCACTTGTGCCTTCCCTGTTCTTGTGACTCCTGGTTCTTCCACATGCAGCAGTTTCTTGGCAACATGATCTCCCTTTGCCTTCTCAGCACGTTCACACCATCTCCAGGTCATTGTGCACGAATGCACTAAGAGCTGTTCCTGGGGGGAGGATTGTCACTTCCTCCCTGTCTGGCCTAGCGAGTCCTCTCCAGACACATTTAACAATCCTAGCATGCTCCGTTCTGTGAGATCTAAATCCCCTTTCTCTTGTCATTATGACCCAGCAGAAGTTAATAGACTTACCAGCCTCTGCTGCTACAGCAGGGGATGATGCATTTCCTCAACTGCTCCTCTAGTGATGCGTACACGAGATGTAACCCAAGTTTGTCTGCAAAGGGGTCCCTGGAAGCTTCTGTCCACATCCCTCCCGAGCATCTTTATCTCCATAGACAGACGCTGGCTTTGCTGTATTTGCTCTCTAGCTCCCTCTGCAACTCTGAGAAGTTGTGCTCTTCCTAAAATCCCTCTGCTGATTGCATGCCCATCATTGTGATGACAAGAAGTGGGCTAGCTGCAGGACCTAGTGAGAACCAGTTTTCATTTCCAGAGGATCTCTAATACAGGGGCTTGTACTGGCTTGTGCATAGGGCTGTGGTACTGAGCCTTTAAGAGGTCAGTTTGCTTTTCTGATGCTTTCTTTCCCCTGCCTTCCCCCAGAGGATCTCCTTAAGGAAGTGCTTCAGTGTTTTCTCTAGCTCAGCAAAGACCACATGGACCATTTCTATATCACGGCCTTTCACATGCTGTGAAACGTGTCTCTTTCTGCCTTCTTTTGTCCATATCCACAGCTCCCAGCAACTTGGTGTTCAAACCTGCAGTACTTGCCAACCTCTGCGCTCCTTACCCCTCCTGGGGTGATCCTCCCAATGAACAGGATGATGGCTCAGTTGCAGCTACAGTTATTATGAGATCATCCTTTCTTGTCCCTGGTGATGATGACTTAGTCTGTGTCCCAGAAAAAAGTCTCATATTTATCCACTTCTCAAGGATGCTTTTCACTGCCATGACTCCCTTCACTAAGCTCATTTTCACTTCTTTTCCTGGAATTACACTGATAAGGTAAGTGTTATCCATCAATCAGTGTGTCGAATATCTCTTCTTTTTGGTACCTTGCAAACAGTGAAAGCTTTGTTTTTGGTCCCCATGCATCATAGATCACTGCATCTCTACACATGTCCCTGGTGACTCTCCCAGTTTAATGCTCTTTCTAAATCAGGAGTGGTTGGTGCTTTGTTTCCTGTGACTGTTCCTCGTCCACCTGGGTCACAAGGGCTGTTATCTGTTGAAGGCTTCTCTCTGCAGTGCCCTCTCTTTCATCATAAATGCCCATCCTCCCTTGTCCATCAAGGCCCTAGTAGACACCTTGAGTTCACTGGATCCATTCCCCAAATCCCAGTTGAATCTTGTGTCCCATACACAGTCACAAATGCTCTTTAACCACTGCCAACACAGGATATCGAGGTCCCACACCTGACTTAATCTGCAGCATCCAGCAGGAACAGGTGGAGCTCTGGGTCTGTGATGATGAGGACCGTGGGGAAATCTCAAGATGGGAGGACCTGCTGCCAGGTGAGTTGTGGCTGTTCCCTGCCCCCACCCAACACTGCTGTCAGTAAAGCTCCATAGCCAGAGTGCATGCAGGACCTGGAAGCCGCAGGCCTGCCCTGTGCTGCCATTGCAGGGTGCTAACCGTGATTCCAGGGGGTCATGACCTGCCCCCCGCAATGCCCTCCTGAGGTGTGCGCAGTGGCGGGAGCTGCCCTTCCCCCCCATGCCCCAGACAAGCCATGGCTCTGTCCCCCAGCCCTGCCCCAGGGGAGGCAGTGCGTGCCCTAGCCCCATTCCTGCCCTCACCACGTGTTTGGGGGGGTGTTGATCTCCCCCCCACACCACTTCCCTCCCCTTCCACCACAACAGACTTACCAGCTCAATACAGCTGTATATGAAATCGGATCGGTATTGGCCAATATGCCTCCTTAAAAAGTGACTATCGGTATCAGCCCACAAAATCTCTTATCAGTGCACCCTTAGAAAATGCAGGTGGGTACAGGGTGTGTCTGGGGGTGGATATGGGTGGTTTGTGAGGATGTGTGCGTAGGTATGGGACTTGTGGGGGGCTATGGGGGGTGTGGTGTGTGCATGTAGCAGTAAATGGGGCTTCCCACGGGCTTGTGGCTGTGAGTGTTGAGGGTTGTAAAGAAGGGTGTGGGAAGGTGTGGCGTTTGTGGTGTGTATGATTGTAGCGGGGGATGGTGTGGATGTGGGGTTTGTGTGGGAGGGTTTGAGGATACATGGGGTGTGCGTGGGAGCCCCTTCGTGTGCCCAACCGAGCTAGTCAGCCCCTGCCCCCACCCCACAACAGCCCAGAGCCCGTACACCCTGGCTGTCCTGGATCTGCTCTGCACCTGCCACCTCTGCCCCACCGGGCAGGTTGGAGATGGCGGTGACACGGTGGAGACTCAGGGCAGCCCCACATGGTCTCTGGGCGGCTATACCTGGAAGTGCTGACAGCAGGAGGGGTTGCTTTTGTTCCATGTTGAGCAGCAGTTTCTCTCCTGTATTGCCACTGCTCAGCCCGGAGAGGCGAGCCTGGAGCTGGTGTAGAGCGCATGGGTCCAGGGCTGCACGCCCTAGTACCTGCCACTATGGCTTGGCTGGTCGCAGCACTATGGCTTGGCTGGTAGCAGCCAGAAGAAGCTGCCACCTGGACTACCTAGGAACGCAGACCAGCTGTGGAGCCATGCCAAGGAACCCAAACCTAGCACTGTCTGCCCTTTGCCAGCAGGGTAGGGACTAATCTGGAGTCTCACTTCCCCATGCAGGAGGTGCCTGGCCACTGAGCAGAGCTAAGGAGCAGCCTCCTGCGGAAGGGTCTGCAGACCTGGAGCCAGCACAGGTTTCCCCAGGGAGTTTGGGTGACATGGACTCCCTGAGACCTGAGAAGAAGCCATGGCATGAAAGTCAGGGGAGGTCCCAAAAGCAGAAGGAGAATGTAGCCATGAACCAGGTACCATCTCCATTTGGGCATGAGAGTGGAGAAGGGGCAGAACCTAGAAAGATCCCCGGGTGCAGAGACGAATTTGTGGTGCAGGTTCCCTGGGTGCAGGGAAGAGCTGAGAGACCTAAAGAGCCGCTGGAAAGATGCATTGCATGCCAGCTAAGGCAGTGGGGAGGGCCTCAGAGGTAAGCGAGAGCTCACTGCTATCAGTCCTGGCTTTTCACAAGATAATGTATACTGGGGAGAAGTCCCATGTATGGACCAAGTGTGGGAAGAGCTTCACCTGCCTCTGCCCTGGTTTCTCACTGCCAGATGCATTCTCAGGAGCTACCCTACTGCTTTGCCAAATGGGGGAAGAGCTTTGTGTGCCTCATAGACGTGGTCAAGCAGCTACATATGCAGAGGGGGAAGCATCAGGCACAGCTGTGTCATGAGTAGCAAGAGCTTCACCCATTTTTTTCTCCCTGTCTCAGGACTGGTGCATCCACCTAGGGAGGAAGACACACCACTGCACTGAGTGCAGGAAGAACTTCAGCTGCTTGCAAGACCTGTCCCAGCACGAGTGTGTGCAGCACCATTGCGCCAAGTGTGGGAAAAGAGTCAGGCATCTCTCCAACCTGGCAAGGCACTGGTGCATGCACACAAGGGAGAAGCTACATCAGTGCTCAGTGTGTGGGAAGAGCTTCACTCACTCGTCCAGGCTGACTCGACACCAGCGTATCCACACAGGGGAGAAGCCACATCAGTGCTCAGAGTGCGGGAAGAGCTTCACTCACTCGTCCAGGCTGACTCGACACCAGCGTATCCACACAGGGGAGAAGCCACATCAGTGCTCAGAGTGCGGGAAGAGCTTCACTCACTCGTCCAGGCTGACTCGACACCAGCGTATCCACACAGGGGAGAAGCCACATCAGTGCTCAGTGTGCGGGAAGAGCTTCACTCACTCGTCCAGGCTGACTCGACACCAGCGTATCCACACAGGGGAGAAGCCACATCAGTGCTCAGAGTGTGGGAAGAGTTTTGCTAACTACTCCAGCCTGGCTCAACACCAGCGTACCCACACAGGGGAGAAGCCATATCAGTGCTCAGAGTGTGGAAAGAGCTTCACCGAGTCCTCCAGCCTGGCCCAGCACCAACGTATCCACACAGGGGAGAAGCCACATCAGTGCTCACAGTGTGGGAAGAGCTTCACTTACTCCTTCAACCTGGCTCAGCACCAGCTGATCCACACAGGGGAGAAGCCATACGAATGCTCAGAGTGTGGGAAGAGCTTCACTCACTCCTCCAGCCGGGCTCGACACCAACTTATTCACACGAGGGAGAAATCATATCATTGCTCCGAGTGTGGGAAGAGCTTCACCCTATCTTCTGCCCTGGTCCGGCACCAGCTGATACACACAGGGGAGAAGCCACATCAGTGCTCAGAGTGTGGGAAGAGCTTCACCCAGTCCTCCCACCTGTCCCGACACCAGCTCATCCACACAGAGAAGAAACCATATCCATGCTCGGAGTGCGGGAAGTGCTTCCTCCACTCCTTGCAACTGGCTCAGCACCAGTGCATCCCTGTCCAGGGGTGTCCATAATTGTGCCTGCAATGCAGGAAGGGTTTGGGGATGTATACCAGCTCAGCACCCACTGGTGTTTGCATCCAAGAAGCAGTCTCATGCTGGTGGACTGCAGCAACAGTTTAGCCTCTGTTCAGCCCTTCTAGGCCACTGGAAAATCGAATGGACACAAAGGCTGGTCTCCCAACCTTGATGCAGGTGAAGGGTTATAAGGAAACACCTCAGGCAGAGGCCAGGACGGATACTGGGGGATCTGTGAGATGATCCTTGCATCAGCCTTGGAGCTTGTGCCATCCCCATCATTTTCTAAAACAGCCAGTGCTCCCAGGGGAGAAGAAGCATCTTCACCATAGGTGCCTTCCCCAAGACAGCTGGCTCCGTATGACACCCAGGGACTGTGTTTGGCAGACTCCCACTCTGACGTCCCTGCTGGCCCCACGGTTCTTGTGCTGAGGCTGTAGAGTTGCAGGAAGGAGAGCGTATATTCCTGGGGAAGGATTCCCTGCTTTCCACTCTGACCAAACCTTTGCTCCCCACCGCATCACCCATCTCCCAGGCCTGCACGTGCCCATCGTGGTCTGCAAGAAACTGCTACTGCCACCCCGTGGGCCCAGTTCAGCCAGTTCTGCTGCTCAGCCCCTCATCAGAACTTAGCACCACCAGGTGCCAGCTGCACCCCCTGCCCACCTTCCCACCACGATAGTCTCTGGAACAGGTTCCTTGGTTATCAAGCCCCACAACGTAACATGATACCCCTGTGGTTGGTCTCTGTCCTCTCAAGAGCTGTGAAATGCAATTATAAGGGTAAAGGAGGTGCACCCTGCAGATCATAGAATCACAATGGTCTCTGTCCTCTCAAGAGCTGTGAAATGCAATTAAAAGGGTAAAGGAAGTGCAGCCTGTGACATGTCCTGCCTCCTCTGTGGAAGGGTTGGGAAAGAATGAAGGGATCCTCTGGGTGAAATGCATCAAGTTGTAATCTCCCTTTGCGCATACTGAGGCCTCCCTCCTTGTGCGGAAGCCATTTGGCTCCATGAGTGTCCTTTAGGAGCCACTCCAAGAGGTTAATCACCCATCCTGCAGAAAAGGGCCTGGGGGTTAAAGTGGGCTCTAAGGTGACTGAGCCAGCAGTGTGCCCTTGTTGCCAAGAAGGCTAAGGGCATACTGGGCTGCACTGGGAGCTGTACTGCCAGTAGTTCAAGGGAAATTACTCTTCCCCTCTATTCGACACTGGGGCGGCCACATCTGGAGTCCTGTGTCCAGCTGTGGGCCCCCACTACAGAAAGGGTGTGGACATGGGAGAGTCCAGCAGAGGGCACCAAAAATGGTTTGGGGGCTGGGGGACATGATTTAACCTGGGTAGACAAAGCCTTGGCTGGGATGATGTAGTTGGGGCCGGTTCTGTTTGGAGCAGGGGTTGGACCAGATGTGACCTCCTGAGCTCCCTTCAGCCCTCGTCTGTGATTCTGTGATCCTCATCCTCCAGCTTTCAGCGCCCAGCCACTGGGCCTTTCTCTGCTGGACCCAAATCCCCCCTCTCAGCACATCTCTCTTCCCCAGATGGTGCCTAGGGCCAGATAGAGATCATTCTGAGAAGCAAAACCGTTTCTTGTTTGGTGGTTTGGCAGGGAGGGTGAAGTACCCAGGCGCTGAGCAGACACAAGCCTACAGCTAACCCACGGGAAACAGTGAGCACAAGGCTCGCCCTTTATGCCCCCTCCCAGGACCCCGCTGGAAACACGCACATGGGGAGGGACCGTGGCACTCCTGGGACCGGGTCTGCCAGGATGAATGGAAGTGCGCAGTGCTGGACGCCTCCCTTTGCGGTCCTAGCACCATCTGCAGCCTGCAACGTTTAGTTTCTAGCATCATTTGCAAACGGCAGCAAAAGGCTAAAGGGATCGGGCACAGTAAGCACGCTCCCCCGGCCCCAGTCTGAGGTAGCCTTTTCATTCTTAAACTGGTTTAAGCCCCCACGGTCCCATGGGAGACCAGGTGAGGGGCATGGGAGCCCGCATTGTTTGTGTGTGTTGCGCAGCGGCGTTGTGCCCTGTCCCCAGGACTCTGCTGCTCACAAGCAAGAAGCCTCTTAGGAAGAAGAAGCCACGAAGCAGAGAACAGGAGAGTCTTACCCTTCCCACAAGACTGGCGAGGAGCGTCGGACATGACCATGTTCTCATACACAGGCTCTTCTGCTGCTGCTTTCATTGTGCACGGAGAACCCAGCCGCCATCTCCTCCCAACTGCTCGGTGAGAGTACCCTTCGTGCACAAAAATGTAGGGACTGAGCACTGCAAATCCTCTGACCAAGTGAAACCAAAGGCTTCTGACCACCAAGAAAAAACTGGAGCCCCACAGGGCAGGGAGTCTGTGCCGGGGAAGGGCACAGGAACCAGGACGGACCCGGGGCAGGACACGGCCGAGGCAGCACCATGGGCAGAGCTGGACTTGTGCAATGGGGCCGGTGCTAGGTGCTGCGGATGGATGTTCTCCACCCCGGGGCAGGGCAGTGTCTCGATGTCCCTTCCATATAGCCCTGGCCGCCATGCAGGCAGCCGAGGTGACCTTCCCCGGCCCTGCTGGGATGGAGACCAGACTAGATCGTCATCTCCTCCTGGTGATCTGTCCCCTCGTCTGCACGTGCTGGTTACTGGGGACTGTGAGACTGCCCAGGGGCTCAGGATCGAAGAGCTATTGAAAGTCAGGCGAGCGGCGCTGGCTGCAGCGGTGTGCTCGGTGCAGGCGGGTGCTGCGCGCTGCCTGCGGGCAGGGAAGGCCATGGCTGCAGCACTTGCAGGTCGGCCTTGGGCAGCGTGGCTGGTCCCTGGTGTGGTGCCAGGGCAGCGCGGGGTCGGGCACCCTCTTCTCCGTGCGCAGAGGCTCCGTGCAGGAAAGATGAGAGAAACCAACTCTCTGTCCCCCGCCGTGCTCCCCCCGTCCTTGGCTCTGGTGCCGGAGGAAGCTCCAAATATTTCTATCCAAATATTTCTATTTGACCTTTCCTTTCAGCTGTGGAGGGGGCACACTGGCGACGGGACCGGGAGCCCGAGTCACCTCCGCACGGGGCAGAGCTGGGAGCCAGAGAAGGACTGGAGGGAGGGAAACTGAGGCAGAGGAGGCGGCAGAGCTGGAGCTGAGGGGAAAAATCACCTCCCATGGACCAAAGAGGTGCGCGGTGGGGGAGAGAAGGGAGGCAGAAATAAGCGTGTCCGACTTTGGACCGGCACCGGGAAGGAAAGCCGAGAGGTTGAGGGGGGTTTGGGGGTTTGTCTGTCTGTGCAGACGCCCGCAGGGGTGCCGCCTCAGGGGTGCGGTGAGGGGTGCTCCCGTGTTGAAAATGGCCGCCCTCCCCTCACAGTCCCGGCGCAATGGCTGCCGGCAGCCGTGGCACCGGTGTGCAGCCCCGGGTGGGGCCGGGGGCGACCCCTGCTCGTGGGGCCGGTGCCTTTCCTGACGGCCCGGGACGGCCGACTCGCAGCCTGCAGGGCTGGAAATCAGCGCCAGGCGCCTGCGGGACGGGATCAGCCATGAGAGGAGGCGGCTCGGCTCGGCTTGGCCTCGGCCTCCCGCCGGGCTCAGCTCTGGCGGGTTTCCCATGGTGTCTCCTGGGCTGCGCGGTGCTCACGCTGCCAGGTCACGGCCACGGAGACCAGCCCCGGCCCGGCTCCGGTCAGGACCTCCTCGGCAGATTTATGCCAGTTCGTCCCAAATCAGTCTGCACACGGCGTTACTGTGATACAACGCTTCGTGTATGGACACCGGCCTGTAAACAAGGAGACGATCCTCCAAGCGCAAAGGGAAGTAATCCCTACACGAGTCAAAGCGGGCAAGAGGGCGCACAGGCCCCCCTGGCTCCCCAAAAGCATCTGGGAACGTCTCCGAACAAAAACCCGCTGGAAGTGAGGGGCCATCACAACAGAGGGCTACACCGCGGGTGCTCGGGGCTGCAGGGGGCTGTCGGTCAGGACGGCCGAGGCGGAGATGGAGCTGGGACTAGCGACAGATCAAGGACAACAAGAAGTCCTTTTTCAAATACATAGCGGGGCAAAAGAAGGTGCCAGGTAACGTGGGGCCTCTGCAGCACACGCTAGGAAGTCTGGTCATCTCACCTGACGGTGAAGCTGACATATTCAACCATTTCTTTGCCTCCGTATTTCTGAGGAGGGACCCAGATATCTCCCCCACTGCCCCCCCGAGAGCCCGGTGGGCGGCACACCTAAGCGGAGGGTTAATGAGGACCTTGTCAGGGAGCTTCTGGAGGGACTGGATGTATTTAAATGCACAGGTCCTGACGACCTCCACCCCAGGGTGCTGCAGGAACTAGCAGGGGTCATTGCGGGACCCCTGGCACGGCTCTACGAGCACTCGTGGCGCTCGGGCGATGTGCCGGAGGACTGGAAAAGGGTCAATGTGGTCCCCATCTTCAAATAAGGGAGGAAGGAGGACCCAGGAAACTATAGGCCCGTGAGTCTTACCTCGTCCTGGCAAAGCTTTTTGAAAGAATTATCCTGGCGCATGTCCAGGACGGGCCGGCAGGGGGGATCATGCCCCGGGGCAGCCAGCGTGGGTTCATTAGGGGTGGGTCTCGTCAAACCAACCTGGTGGCCTTCGACCAGGTCACCAAGTCCTTGGATGCAGGTGTTGCAGTGGATGTAGTCTTTCTGGACTTCAGGAAGGCCTTCGACACGGCATGTTTACACATTGGTAAGTGAGACCTGACACTAGTCTGGGCCCTGGGTGGGAGTGCATTGTTTACTTCAACCGTCAAGGAAATAACGTGGGTGGTTTTCACTGTTGTTGTGAAGGGGAACGCACAGCAGGACGGCCCGCGGCGGCCCCCGCTCAGCCCCACCTTGCTACGGCACTTCCCAGCGTGCAGGCTCTCTCTGCTGGCCGGCGAGTAGTGTACATGAGGCCCTTGCAGGACGCCCTTCTCGGTGGTTTTCACCCAAAATTCCCAGGCTCTCCATTCCCCACCGACATTCGCTCCTTCCCTCCTACTTCCAGCGGTGATTGCTCTGCTGGCAGTCGGTGCCGCCGCTGACCCTGGACACAGACGCCGCGCAAGAGAAGTGGACCGACCACGTACCACGCCTGGCGCCACGGCCTTGTACACAGCTGCCTTGTCTCAACGGGCAATGTTCACCATGTCTCACTGCCAGGGCCCTGTCGCTAGTGGTATCACTGCCTGCCTGCCTGCCTCCGGGGCTCAGACAAGCATTCTCCTTAGATTAGTCATCCTGAAAATAAATTGAGAGTAATGATGATGGTCAGAAGGATACTGCTGAGAATGGTTTCTACAATGCCGCCTGGCGGAAGACGGGGGTAATTACACGTCTCTGAGTGCCTTGCGGTTTGCACACAACGAATCCATAGACGCAACGCTTTAATTCGCAGCGAGCCAAACTAAACGACGTCTGAGCAGTTTTATTTTCACAAGCTGAACAGACCTTTAAAACATCGGGAAATCCTGCTCGTGCAAACAGACACTCCCTTGCAGTGTCTGCAAGGACAAACATTGCGGTGTGTACATGTACCCTTAGGGACTATTTAGAAAAGCTGGACATCTACAGGTCCATGGGGCTGGGCAGGATGCACCCGAGGGTGGTGAGGGAGTTTGCTGATGAGGTAAAAGAACTGCTGACCATCATCTTGGAAAATGCATGGTGATCAGGAGAGGTCCTGGATGATTGGAAGAGGGCAAACATAATGCCCATATTTGAGAAAGGGAAAAAGCAGGATCCAGGGAACTACAGATGGGTCATCCTCACCTCAGTCCCTGGAAAAAATCATGGAGCAGATCCTCCAGGAATCCGTTTCTAAGCACTTGGAGGAGAAGAAGGTGATCAGGAAAGTCAGCATGGTTTCACCAAGTGACAGCCATGCCTGACCAACCTGATTGCCTTGTAGGAGGAGATGACTGACTCTGTGGATGTCGGGGAGCCAGTGGATGTGGAGTACCTTGATTTTAGCAAGGCTTTTGATACGGTCTCCCACAGCAGTCTCTCAGGAAAACTAAGGAAATATGGGCTGGATGAATGGGCTGTAAGGCGGGTACAAAGCTGGCTGGAGCACCAGGCTCAGAGGGTCATAATCAATGGATTGATGTCTAGTTGCCAGCCGGTATGAGGTAGAGCGCCCCAGGGGTCGGTCCTTGGGCTGGTTTTGTTTCATATCTGGGACCTGGGGGTCACAATAGAGCACAATAGGAACATGAGCTGTCAGTGCGATGCTGTGGCCAGCAGGGCAAACAATACTGTGGCGTGCATCAATCGATGCATCTCCAGCAAAACCAAGGAGGTGATTCTCCCGCTGGTGAGACCACAGCCGGAGTACTGTGTCCAGTTCTGGGCACCGCACTTGAACGAGGACAGGGACAAGCTTGAGAGAGTCGAGAGAGAAGCCACCCAAAGGATCAGCATCTTACACGGCAAGCCATACGAGGAAAGGCTGAGGGACCTGGGACTCTTCAGCCGGAGGAAAGGAAGGCCGAGCGGGCACCTGGTAGCAGGTTACCGCTACACTAGCGGGGTACATTCGGGCAACTGTTCACCAGGGCACCCGAGGGGAAAACCAGGATAATGGCCACTAACTCCTGGCAGACCGATTCAGGCTCAACATCAGGAAAACTCCTTCACAGGCAGGGTGTCCCGACTGTGGAAGAAGGTCCCTCCAGACGTGGTGCAATCGCCGACCCTGGAAACCTTCCAGCGACTGGACAGCACCGTGCTGGGGTCACCTGAGCCCCAGGAGTCTTTCCTGCGTGGTGCAGGGGCTGGACCCCATGGTCTTCCAAGGCCCCTCCCGGCCCCTACAACCTGTGAGTCTTCATCGCTGTCCTGGAAGATGACACAGAGTGAATCCTCAGCACGCTGGGAGATGACACCAAGATGGGGGCGGGGGGAGTAGTAGGTACACTGAAGGGTAGGGCTAGGATTCAGAGTGACCTAGAGAAACTGGAGGATCGGGCTGGTTTTGTGCAGAGCTGCTGCCCAGCCAGGCAGCCCTGAGCCTGTCCCGGTTGCTCTGTGCTAAGTGCAGGATGATTTTGCCCTTGTTGAACCTTGAGATGTCTTTCGGCCCAGTCACCACTCTGCACTGTGGTGAAAAAGCAGGCACTGCTGGGATTTGAACCCAGGACCCGCTGTTTACAAGACAGGTGCTTTAACCAGCTAAGCCACAGTGCCCACAGTTAAGGGCTTCCAGTTCCGCGCCCCCACTCCGGGGCAGGGCACTGCCTTGCGTTGCACACGGAGACAGAGGCGTTTCTCAAAGGCTCGGCGGTGGGCGCAGGCAGGTGGGGGTCGAGGCACGTTCTTCACAGACGTGAGCGGGACCCGGGCCCGGGGTCACATTCCTGTCTCCCGCGCCAGGGAGCCAACGTGACCGTCAGTCCGACCTGCAGCTGCACACCCGCTCCCGCCAGGTCCCCGCTGTCCCCAGCGGCCCCTGCACAAGACACGCGTCCCCGATCCATGCGCCAAAGCCGGGGCAGTGCTTGCCCATGTACCGGCTCCTGCGCCAGCGACGGCGGTTCGAGTCCCGTGCGGAGGCTGCGGTCAGCTCGGTGTTCTCAGACGTGTGTCGGGGGCGGTGTTGGCGCGGCGCGGCGCGGGGAGCCCTCCCGAGCCTGCAGACCCTGCGGGAAGGGAATCGCTCGCAGTGTCGGCAGCGTGCTCCGGCGAGGAAGAGCGCAGCCGGCTGCGGGGAGGCGCTGGGGAGCGGCGGACACACAGCAGTGTCTTCACATGGTCACCGCGTGATTCCGCACTGGGCGGGTGGGAACACCCCGTCCGTGTGGGAGCAGGCAGGCAGGCAGGGCGCACTGCTCCGTGCGTCTCCGGCGGGTTTCAGAGACGCGGGGAAGGCAGTGCTGGGGGGGGCTAGGAGTCGCCGTGCCTGCAGCGCGCTGGGAAGTGCCGCAGTTGGCACCATGGACCGCCC